TTGCTGGAAAGAAATGCCTCAAGGTGAGTTAGCCTTACGTCTTAATCTCTTCAGAGCAATTGCGGGCAGAAAATTAGCTTCAGGGCTTACACCATTAGGCGTTCCTGGAAAGTTGAACTATATACCTGACAACCCTATTGTTACGCACGCTATCGTCCATCGTCATCACATCTACTTGTCATCTTCATTGTTTTGCTGCCCAATAATGACCCAGCTCCTCCAGGTAAGTCTGTTGATCGATCATGATACAGCTCCTCCAGGTAAGTTTGCTCCTCCATCGTGGCCTACTGGCCTCTGATGCGTTAGTGTGTGAGTTCCTTATCAGCTGCTTGCGTGGGTTATCTTTTGCTACCTGTGTTTTTTTATATTAAAAGCTGTTTGATAAAATTGTATTATTTGCCATTAAATTTTCCATTAAATATTTTTAGAGTAAATTCCATAATTTTTTTTTGAACCAAATGCAAATAAATTTATTGATCATCCAAGACATAAGTGCATAGCAGCACGGGAAAACAAAATACAATGTTTCAGAACCTGCCTCTAACACTTAGACTAATAATAACTCAAGCAGCTATGAGTTTACATAAGGACTAGATATTTTAGCATTCATGAAGGTGCTAACATGGTATCTGATCCAGTTGAAAGCTTCTTCAGTTGGGGTTAAGGAATTCTCATGAAAGACCAGATTCCTAACCTTCCAGAGGTAATACACACATGCTGCAAACACTGCTGTTTGCTTCATCCTTCTTTTAGTTGGTGTTATCTTCTGGATTTGGTCACAAATTTCTTCGAAGGTTTGCCCCTCAAATAGCTGATGGCTCCAATTATAGATCTTCTTATATAGCTCTCTAGTGTATGGGCAATTGCAGAAAAGATGATGTCTATCCTCCTCTCCATTTGAGCATAATAAACATTGAGTGTCAATAGGATAAAACCTCCTCAATCTGTCTTTGGTCAGAAGCTTATCCTTGCAGGTGAGCCATAGGATGAACTTATGTTTTGGAAGTGAGAGCCTATTCCAGACCAAGCCAGTCCAGCCTGGTTTCAGCCTTTGGCCCAATAGCCATTGATATCCAGCCTCAGTAGTATAGGGGCTAGATCTACCCATCTCCACAAAGCAATCTCTTGTTTGTAGTATTTTCTTCCAATAGAAGCAGTCATCAGTCTTGATTTGGCATTCCCATATATCACTGTTTTTTAGGTACCTATTATGGATCCATTTGATCCACAAGATCTCCTTTTCCAATGCGATGTCCCACACCATTTTCATAACGCTAGCTTTATTATAATACACCAGATTTTTAAGGCCGAGACCCCCATATTGCTTTGGTAGACAAAGGTCGTCCCAAGCAACTAAGGGAGTTCTTCTCTGATTTTGAGAAGATCCCCATAGGAAATTTCTACACAGGGACTGGATCTTCTTCATAACCATGGAAGGGAGTAAATTCCATAATTGGTCCTTTATAACAGGGGGTTTCCATATTTAGTCCTCTATTATCAAATATTACCCCCGTAGTCCTTTTTTTAAGGGTACCTTTCCACAAATGGTCCTTTTTTTGATCTTCTACCGTGTTGGTGTTAATTTAAAGGCTAAAAGTATAATTTGACGTCAATATTATGTCTAGTGACGTGTTCTGATATTGGTTAAGCGGATAACACAAAAATAATGACTATAATTCTGGGCTAGGATTCTGACGAAAGATCACATTTGTAGACTATAGTTGTCGTAAAAAGCGACTGTAATTCACAAACGACGCAAACGGAACAGCCTTTGGAATTGTGTATGACAAAAAAGATATATTATCATTGTGAAATTACACTTTTAGCCCTCAAATTAACACCAACATGATAGAAGATCAAAAAAAGGACTATTTGTGGAAAGATACCTATAAAAGAAGGACCACTTGGATAATATTTGATAATAGAGGACTAAATAGGGAAACCCCCCTGTTATAAAGGACCAATTATAGAATTTACTCATATTTTTATTTCCATGATGAGTATTATTTACTGTTAAGTTTCTTTTTCTTTTTTTTGAAAAAACAAAATGCTTGGATATTTTATGTACACCAGAATTCTTCACCAAGTGCTTAAATGTCCGACCCATAATGGAAATATGGGTAGACTCAACACTCAAAAAACTCAGGGAGGACAGAAATTCAGTTACAGATATGTGTTGTCAGTCGTGTAGTTTTTGTAACAAAAATATCACAGGCGGGAGGAAATTCACAATCTTTTGATCCTAATTTTAATTCTTTAGAATCCAACAATCTTTTTTTTGCATCCATCAATTTCAGTTCATTACCTTCGGCCAATTTTTTGTCTTATTTTATGTTAGACTTTGTTGCGTTTGAGACCTTATAATTTGGCAATATGCTTCTTGATTGTTTATGGATTAATTCTGTTATTAATAATGTTCTACGTTCAGTTTTAATAACGTGTTATGGACATTTTGATACTTAAAAAATGAGGCTTACACAATACACATTGGCAGAAAAAACGTCTCATATACCGTATAAGCAATTGCCATTTCAAACACTGAATATTGGACAACTCATATTGTAAAATGTGGTGCAAAATACCGATCAATAGCACTTACTCATTTCAACTCGAGCAGATTATGGGTTCGTTTACCTATGTTTTTGTTTTTTGTTTATTTTATTTACTATTTTCCATTTTCTGTTTTATGTTTTCCAGATTTCCATTTTATGCTATTTTGCTTTATATTCTTTGATTTTTTTTCTCCAGTTTGGAAGACACATTTACAAACATTTTTGTCTTATACTCCGTATAACACATTAAATGTTCAGAGACCACTTGTGGTGGTTGGCACATGTAGCAATGGCCGGTGACATCAATGCCTCAACGGTCCATGTCAGAATCAGTGTAGTTAGTGGTTGTTGACTATAGTGATAGGGGTTGGCATTGGTGGTGGTCGTGACTGGTCGGCGTTGAATGCAACTGACGAGTGACTAAAATGGCGGCAGTCAGAAGTGATGACACGGGTGGGTGGTGGTCAGACAGTCAGGTCAGTTTTTAGTGACAGTGGCCAATAATAGCGGTGGTCACCTATGGTGGCGGTAGAGCTAGAAGCTATCATCGACGATGGTTGTGATAGGGAGCAGTGTTTGTCTGGGTATCCAGGTCTGGTGACACTAAAAGTGTTGCTAGCCTTTGGTGGTCATATGGGGTCGGGGTGGGGCCACCAACGACGTCGGTGGTTAGTGACTAATTGTAGGGGGAAATGGGCATCATCTGGGCATTCTGGGGAGTATGTAGGTTGCCGTACTTGTCGTTGGTGCCTTAATTATTTTTTTTGGAACACAAGAAATAGATGGGGTAATGAAGTTTGGGGGAACCAACCCTTTCACCCCAGCTCTGTAGTGAATGAGAAGCTCGCGCTACGGCGCTAGCAAATACGTTGTCTCATTAGCAGAGCGATAAACAAGGCGAAAGCTAACAACTCCGCCACACAAGGCTAAGAGTGTTTTACAATCATCAAAGTTGAAGAGAAATAAGAGCAATCATGAACATCAAGGTTTAGTGCATCCACCTTATCCTTGCAATCTGTCTAAATGATGATTTGCATTCATTAGATTTTATCCAGCTAAGAGCCTCATTGGCTGCCAAGACAGACGTTTTTTGCGGCAATGAAAGTCCCCGCATCATCCCGAGCAAGAAAGTTGAAGCCCGCAACTCCATCCATTAAGCCAGTTGAGGCATCCACATTAATCTTCAAAAACCACATTGGTGGTTTTTTCCAACTACGACCATCGCTATTCCGAGATTCCTCCGTTGTGATAGGGCTTGCCGTCGCCCACCATTCTTCAAAACTCACCCTTGCCTTCGTCCCTGTTCCTAATGGGGTAGGATTCTCGCCTCTCCACACCTTTGCATTTCGAGCCCCCCAAATCAGCCATAGGATATGGATGCCTTAGCCTGATCCTTCATGTTAAATAGACCAAAAATATGCTCAAGCCAAGAGTTGAAACTTGAAACTGTTGGAGTAAACCAGCCCAAAAAGGATGCCACCCACACTTGCCTTGCAAAGCTACAGAAGACAAAAGGATGAAGCACTGATTCTTTTGAAGCCTGACACAATGGACACACATTCTGAACAGTTATCCTTTTTGCAACTGAATTACTAAGGACTGGAACAATATTGTTTAAAGCTCTCCAAACCAAGTTTCGAACTACATGCAACGTACGGACTTTCCACAATTTCCGCCACAAACTTGTTGATGCATCATTACCTGCCAGATTGGGCTCCCACACAAGACTCTTGTATGCGCTTTTGACATTGTAGTCACCTGATTTATCATAGGCCCAAAACACAACATTTCCACTATCTGACTGTGTAACTGGGATAACTTCAATCAACCTTCGGTTTCGAATTTCGAAAAGGGTATCAATTTTTTGCCAATCCCAAACTCCATTATGAATGAGATCAGCGACTCCTTGAACATCGTGATGTCCTGGGTTCGGTGTTGTCACCCAAGGGTGCTCATTATCACCAAGCCATGGGTCCTCCCAAATACGAATACTCTCACCATGGCACTCCTTCCAGTGAGTTCCTCTCCGAATGACTTTTTGGGCTTGAAAGATGCTCCGCCAAATACGAATGACTGTTTTCTTATTCTAAAAAACATAAAGGCGATGTTTTCTAGTTTTCCGAAAAAAACTGAAAAAGTGGCGGACAATTTTTTGTTTTCTGATTTGTTTTGAAAACTTTTCTGAATTTAGAAAACTAAAAAGTTAAACACAGAATATTTTTTTCATTTTCTGAATTTGGATTCCAAAAAAGTAAACATGTTTTTTGGTTACTATTTACCAAAAGTTTTTCCGGTTAGTAAACCGCTTCTATGTTGTTTATATACTTCATATTGCTTAATATAGAGTAATTATTTTGGAGGTTATGATGCATGACTTTGACTTGCTGGCTCTGGAAACTACTATGTTCAATACTTCAATGTTAGCTTCTAACCTCTATTGATGTACAGGTCCTAGTTGTATCAGGAGAGACTGGTTGTGGTAAGACTACACAGCTTCCTCAATTCATTTTGGAGGAGGCGATATCATCTTCACGTGGCGCTAGTTGCAATATCATTTGTACTCAGCCTCGTCGCATATCTGCCATATCTGTTGCATCTCGGATCTCCTCTGAAAGGGGCGAAAATCTAGGAGACACTGTTGGTTACCAGATCCGTCTGGAGTCAAAGCGGTCAGCTGAAACTAGGTTACTCTTCTGTACTACAGGGGTGCTGCTGCGGCGACTGGTACTATATTTTTATTGAATTGACAATGCTACTACTATTCATTATAAAGAGTTGATTTTGGTATATGGATCTTAGAAATAATGCTGAATCTACTCTTCATTGTAAAGAGCTTTGAGTTTAGGCTTTCTATGTCCCCCTTTTATCTCATCGTTTTTAACTACAGGAGAAAACATTACATGGGGATAAGGGTTAAATGGGCCTCCTTACTTGTATTGAAGGGCAATCAGGCATCTAAGGATGTGTAGTTAGACCATTAAACAAATGATACACGCCCAATTGTTGTTATTATTAAAAGTTTTAATAGTAATGATATTATTATTATTATTATTAATGTCAATGAGAATTAGCATATTTTCTATAGTCGTTCAATTGCACATTATTCAGTTTGGCAGTCTGCTTCTGATTGCACTCTCGATACTCGTATAGGGCCCTCTTTTCCCTTTTCCCAATTACAATTATACTCCTTGTGTTTTGGTGCACATGCAATATTCAGAATCTTATATTCTTTTGAATAAAGCTTGCAGATAGAAGTGAACTAGCCAATACCATGAGTCCTGTGGGCTCATTATCATCTTTGCTACCACTTGAGCTTGTTCTCTTTGTTTGATATGATTGGATCTGATTATTCTGATTTGATTTTATTAAGATCGGGTCAGATTGTAGTTATATTTAAAGTTGTTTTCCTGTTTCTGACCTGATATGATTCCAATAAGAATAAGTTGAAGAGAACAAGTTCTTAATCCTAACTAGTACATGGAAACAAAAATGAGCAAATACACTAGCAACATCTCTGTCTATTTTTTTTTTAAACCAATCCATCAAAGAATTCTTCCAGTGATTTTTCCTTATATGCTGATAATAGGTCCAGGATTCATTTTTAACTGGAATTACCCATTTGTTGGTGGATGAAATTCATGAGCGAGGATTGGATGAAGATTTTCTCCTAATCATTTTACGTGACCTTCTTCCTCGGCGTCCTGATTTGCGTGTCATTCTTATGAGTGCAACCATTAATGCTGAACTGTTCTCTAAGTACTTTGGAAATGCACCCACGATTCATATACAGGTTTTTTATGATTTTAGTTTTAGATGATTGAAGCTATTGGTTCTACTGGACTCCATTATATTTTATCATGGATGATATGTCTTTATTTTTATTTGCAGGGACTAACTTATCCCGTGGCAGAGTTATTTCTAGAAGATGTATTAGAGAAAACTTCGTACAATATAAAGTCTGATTTTGACAACGTTCAGGGAAGCTCGAGGAGAAGACGCCCTCAACAAGAATCTAAGAAGGATCCTTTGTCTGAATTATTTGAGGTATGCTGAGTACTTCTCATATAAGCCTGAAATTTTGTTAAAAAGCAGCATTCTTTAGCATTGATTGAATGATAACAGTGTAACACTTTGCTGGACGTAAGGATCCCTGGTCATTGAATTCTAAAACAGATGGTGAATTTTTCATATGCTTTGCTACCACTGAATTGTCATATGCTTTAACAAAGAAAGACTTGCGTAATCATTAATATTCACTGGGCTGCTTGTTTCAATTTTTTGATGCATTTTATCTTGTATTCTCATAGCACACCTAATCAAATACATAAGGTTTTGTTTACATGCCCTTTTCCTGCTGTAACCAAGGATCTTATCCCATAGCCTTCTGATGTGCAGGATGTGGACATTGATTCTCATTACAAGGGCTACAGTATAGCCACAAGGCAATCTCTTCATGCTTGGTTGGGCTCACAGCTTGATTTGGGCCTTGTATGTATCTGTTTCGTAGACTTTACTTTCTAAATTTATAGTTTGGTAGTGTTGTTGTCCATTAAAATTTCAGGCCATGTGTCACGTTTTTGGGAGTAACACCAATTTGTTCACCCTTTTGACAATTAATTGATGGCCTTAACATAACTGCTTTAGATTCTTATTCAATTTTGCATGACTTTGAAGTACCAAGAGTTGTGTATCAAGGTTTTTCTGCTGTAGTGTGAAGCCTTTACAACTGCATGCCCTTATGTCTTGTCTTGTTTATGTTAACTTGGCTTTGATGTTGCCAGTGTTTGGAATTTTCTCGAGTAGGTAGAATCAACAATACAGTATATCTGTCGTCATGAAGGTGATGGTGCAATTCTTGTATTCCTTACGGGTTGGGATGATATTTCTAAGCTGCTTGATAAAATTAAAGTAAATAGTTTCCTTGGAAATTCAAGGAAATTTTTGGTTCTCCCTCTACATGGATCAATGCCTACAGTAAACCAGCGAGAAATATTTGACCGCCCACCTCCTAATGTTAGGTATGCGTACATATTTTCCTCATATTTTTTTTTTTTGTGGAGAACCTAATTTAAAGTGTATACTGCTTAACTTCATTTTCTGCCATGCTTATGCTATTTTTTTTTCATAAAATAAAAATTCATCCACCCCACTTTTACAGTTACACCAGTGATCTTATCCCACATTATGTCTTGCTTCATAAATATGTATTCAATAGCACTAGTGAGTTTATACTGATGTAATGAAAAAAATCATTTGTGTGTGGGATTGTGCTGGGGTATCCAAACACATGCCAATTTTATAGGTTCTTGGTCTGATGGCCATTCTGACTCTTTCTTCTTTCGCAGGAAAATTGTTCTTGCAACAAACATTGCAGAAAGCAGTATAACTATTGATGATGTGGTGTATGTCATTGACTGTGGAAAGGCTAAAGAGACAAGCTATGATGCGCTTAACAAACTGGCGTGTTTATTACCATCATGGATCTCAAAGGCATCAGCACATCAGGTTTTCTACTTCTACTATGATGAAGTTCTTGCGCTTGATTGCAATATTAACAATTCAACACGTTTTTGGTCAGTGGTTGCTATATAGAAATTACTTAGAAAGTATGTTTTATTCTGACTTATTATTGGGTAATCTGTTATTGATATTGAAAACAATAGAGACGTGGTCGTGCTGGTCGTGTGCAACCTGGGGTTTGTTACAGAATGTATCCAAAACTAGTGCATGATGCTATGCCACAATATCAATTACCTGAGATTCTTAGAACACCTTTGCAAGAGCTTTGCCTCCATATTAAGAGCTTGCAGTTGGGAGCTATTGGTTCATTTCTGAACAAGGCTCTTCAACCCCCAGATCCTCTCTCTGTTCAAAATGCTATCGAACTTCTGCAAACAATTGGTGCTCTTGATGATGCGGAGGAACTTACCTCACTCGGTTTGTGATGTTCCAAGATCTAGTGTTTCATCAATTTTTTTTACTGCTACAAGAACTAACTTTTCCTCAACAGGGCGCCACTTGTGCACTTTGCCCTTGGACCCAAATATTGGGAAGATGCTTCTCATGGGCTCCTTCTTCCAATGCCTAAACCCTGCCCTGACAATTGCTTCTGCTCTTGCGCATCGTAACCCATTTGTTCTCCCTATAAATCGGAAAGAGGAAGCAGATGCTGCTAAAAGATCCTTTGCTGGTGACTCTTGCAGGTTAATCCATTACGCCCCACTGCTCTTTGTCATGACTTTACTCCTATTCTTGAAGGGTCTGTAGATTTAGGGTTTAATGGTTTTTTGGAGGAAATGTTTTAGGAGACTTAATCTATTTCGTATAACCTTGATAAAATATGCTTCTAAAAACAAATTTACTATAAAATGCTTCAAGATAAACTCTTATGCCTCCAAAGCCCCCTCTCCAAAACCCTCCAAAATCAACCCTCAAACTGAACAACTAATGTTTACTGATGCGTATGTTCACTACTTCACTCCCATTCCTCAAACAGCGACCATATTGCCCTTCTCAAAGCTTATGAAGGCTGGAAAAATGCTAAGCGTCAGGGTAATGAAAAAGCATACTGCTGGGAAAACTTCTTGTCACCAATAACCCTGCAAATGATGGAAAATATGAGAATGCAATTCCTTGATCTACTGTCTGATATTGGGTTTGTTGATAAATCCAAAGGTCTCAAGGTTAGTGCATTCCTTCCCAAGTGCATTTTGGTTTAAGAAGCATTTTCAGTACACACTTATTGAAATCTTAGTTACAGACAAAATATCTTTTGTTTCATATACTCCGTAGCTGAAACTGTGTTGATATAAGTGATTGGTGAGTGGTGACAATGGAAAGAGTAGTAAATAATGTCTGCTTTTGCACAGGCTTACAATGAATACAGTAATGACTTGGAGATGTTATGTGCAATTCTCTGTGCTGGGCTATACCCTAATGTTGTTCAGTGCAAAAGAAGAGGAAAGCGGACCACATTCTACACAAAGGACGACGGAAAAGTTGATATTCATCCAGCTTCTGTCAATGCCAATGTTCACCTCTTCCCCCTCCCTTTCATGGTCTACAGTGAAAAGGTCAAAACAAGCAGCATCTATGTAAGAGACTCCACAAACATTTCGGACTACACACTTCTCATGTTTGGTGGCAATCTCATTCCTAGTAAAAGTGGAGATGGTATCGAGATGCTTGGAGGGTACCTCCACTTTTCCGCATCAAAGAGCGTGTTAGAATTAATAAAGGTAATCTTCCTTTATTTGAAAAGCTTCTGGCCTTCTCTTGGGTTTATTCCCAATGGAGCTAAAAAAGTCATTTTCGATAGCTTCGGGTAAATAATGAACTAAATCAAAATAAGGAGTAGCAAATTGAACTTCCCTGTTTCTTGCATTCTATGAAGCATTGAGGGTCTTAACGGGGAAATGCTTTTTTACTTTTAAGTAAAAGGTTGCCTACATTCTGATCCCTGGACTCCAATGGAGTTGGGATTGTATTGGGTTTGTGGTAGTAGTAGTACTTGATATTGCTGTTGTTCGTGGTAGTCAATATCTTTTACACATTTTTAATTTAAGTTAGTTCGGTGGGGTTCTAGTGACACCCACATTTGGTGACACTAGCGGTGCCACTGTCATTTTGGGGCACTTTCAGTGCTCCGTTCGTAAAATTGACGGTTCCTACCGACCCCCTAAACTCCCCACCCTACCCCCCGCCCTTGCACCCCCACCCCAACCCCGCCGTAAGCCCCTCACAAAATGTGTGGCTATTATGCCCTATTATGCAATGCATAATAGCCACACATTTTATATGGGTTTACGGTGGGGTTAGGGCGGGGGTGTAGGGGCGGGGGTTGGGTGGGGGGTTTAGGAGGTGGGTTAGGAGGGGTAGGAACCGTTAATTTTACGAACGGAGCACCGGAAGTGCCCCAAAATGACAGTGGCACCGGAGTGTCACCGTACATTGGTGTCACTAGAACCCCACCTAAGTTAAATTAATAACACTCAATTCGTAAAAATATTGCAGAAATTGAGGGGAGAACTCGATAAACTACTGAAGAGAAAGATTGAGGAGCCGGGCCTTGACTTCTCAACCGAGGGAAAGGGTGTCGTTGCTGCTGTTGTTGAGTTGCTACACAGTCAGAATATTCGGTATTGATTTTTGTGTACTATTATAAAACTTAATTTATCGATAAATAATACAGCCCTTTAAAAAAACCTTGACCTTCAAAAGGCTTGATGTTGCAATTTAAAATTCTTGATTGATGTTATTTTTTTTAATGATCAACAATTTGTTCACCCATATATTTGAGTGTATAAATCCAACCTAGAATGATAAATAGTACTGCGAACACAAGGATATTCATATGGAAACTAAAACGGTAAAAACCACGAGCTTTTTTTTGGCGGTAGAATGCCAATGATGGTTCGTATACCATATATCTGGGGTGTGCATGTACAATATAATGTTTGTGGAGAAAATGAATATACAAAGAGGAAGAGTATAGTGTGTTGAAGTGTGAGTTGTGGATAATGATCCCCTTCATGGATCAAGCTCAACTTTCTTGTTCTTATGGGAGTATTATTCCATCACAAGCTCCCATTTCCTTAGTTGACATAAAATGTTGGCTGAAACAATATCTTATCTTTGTATCCCTTCAATTGTCTCTCTTCAATTCCAATTCTTACAATCTTTATTCTTGAAGTCTCTAGACCTATAATTGCCTTGTGGCTCTTCATGGTCTAGAAGGGTTTATCTAGTTCGCCATCTCTTGTACTTTAAGGCTTAAACACTCTGGGGTCCCAAGCATAAGGGAGTATCTATACCATACATCTGGATGTGCGGTGTTTTCTGTACATTTACATCAGTACTCATTTTCGAGGGTAAAAATCATTTTGCACCCTCAAAGGGTGCATAAAAGTTAAAATACACCCTCAGAGTTGTGAAATGTTATAATGCACCCTCAAAAAGTTTTCTTTCTCTGGTTTTAACTCTTGACCTCAATTTTATTCTTTTCTTTTGAAGAAACAAAGCGTAAAGTCGTCCGCTTACTCTTAAAATAAAATTGTAGGGTTTGAGCACCTAATTCCCCACCTTCAAAGTTGTCAGTATAAGAAGAAGAAGAAGAAACAATGCTCAAATAGATAAAAAAAAATGTGCTCCATTTGAGTTTTGTTGAATGCACCTGATTAATGGAATGCCTCTGGAGATAGCAATAATTACAAATGGCGAAGAATATGGATATTTCATTTGGAGAAATTTGGTTTTGGGGTGAGTGAATTGCTTTCACGAAGCATTAAAAATTTAACGGAGGGATTAAAACCGAACAAATCAACAGCAAAACCAAATTACCAAAAAAAACACCTAATTGGCGACGAGCAAAGTAGTAGAACACACGATGGAGCTGAGAAACCAACAACGAAGAACACTAGTTTTCCAGATCCTCAACACGAGAGAAACAAATGACGGCGGCAAGACAATTTTACATTTTTACCCTTTGTTTCTTCCGGAGAAAAGTATGGAAATGGCCTCCAGAGGTGAAATGAGAGAGAGTAATTTTTTTAAGGGTGCAATAAAACATTTAACAATTGTGGGGGTGCATTTTATCTTTTATGTACCTTTTGAGGGTGCAAATTGATTTTTTCCCCATTTTCGAGGAACAGAATACTCATTTTCGAGGAACACAATACTCATTTTTGAGTAATTGAATACTCATTTTCAAGCATGACTAAGTTATAGAAAAATGATTATTCAGTTGCTCAAAAATTAGTACTTGCCTTGAATTTATATGAAATATCATACAACTGGTTATACGGTATACATTCCAGACACAAGGGCCCTTGCCCCTAAGTTGCATGCCTTCTTTCACCAAGTTTTCCAAGTGAAAATCTTGTAAGAGGAGTGCTCATAAGTCATATCCAAGAGTTCAATCAAGGGGAATGCTTTACCCTTATCGTTCTTGGGCCCTCTGTGTAGCTGTTCCTTACGTGGATATGCTAACACTTAGGAAGGAATTATCCACCCTTTAACTCCTAACACTATGTTTGGTTCAAGGAATTTTGAAAAAAAAGAAAAGAAAATGGTTTTCTCTCATTTTCCTCACCAAAATGGAAGGAATTTGGTTTTGCTTCCACTTGGTACATTTTGCCTTCTCATTCTCTTTTCCTTCCACTTTTCCTTTCTAACCAAACAAGAAAACTTGTTTTCCACTTCATTTTCTTTTCTTTTCTCTTTTGAATTCCTTGAACCAAACATAGTGTAAGGGTTTCCGAACTCCTCCCATGAATAAAATTATTTCATCCAACAAAGGTTGAGGTCTCCTACATTGAGCTCTTTAGCTTGCCACTCTTTAGCCTCCTCCGGCCTCTTGGACTAACCCTAGTGTAGGGTATAAGGTGATTTCAATGAGTTGCGCATTGTGGTTCGAAACTGAGGCTTATCGCGACCTCCATAGTAAAGTTTGACGAAAATCGTCCTAACTTTTTTTGCAGGTGGTCAAGAGGGCTAGTAGGACAATCTCAGGCTCTGGACCTAAGAGTGTCTATATGACTCACTTCTTGTCTTGTGGGAGAAACACATTCGCAAAGAAGCTCTCTCAGCTCTTTAGAGACTCTTGAGCACTTAATGAGATTCTTTAGACGTTGCACGAACTCGAAGAAACTCCCAAGTACTCCGTACTTGATAATCTTCGAATCTTCACACTGTTCAAGCCATGCATCAACCTTGAATCTTGCAGTGTGAGGCTTGATAGTCCGAGCTTTTTAGGGCTTCCTTTTTTAGTTCTAGGTAATATTCCGATCCAAACCTTCTAATATACCCTGCTCGAAAAATTGAGTGGTACACGAGGCTTCTTTGGGACTCTTACCTCCCATTGTTTTTGGCTAAGGAATTGTTGTACTCAAATAATAAACATATTTAAATTTAAAATTCACAAATGCAAGTTTGTGAAAAGGGGTGGACACGGTACCGGTACGGTACCGTGACCGGCAACAGTACTGCCGGTACCCGCCACCGTTACCGCCGGCCGGGACGTTCCACCGGTTCCGGGAACCGGTACCGGCACCGCCCGCCATGGTACCGGTACCCATTTTTCGGTACCGGCACCAGCGGTACCGGTTCCGGTTCCGGTACCTTTTTATTTTTTAATTTTTTGTCCAGCGGCTCCAGCTCCACGTTACTCTCAATTGTTTACTCCAGCGGTCCAGCCCCTCCAGCAAGGTTACTCTCTTTCTCAAAATAAGTCTCTTCCAAATTTTTCAACAATTGCATTTTATATTTTTCATAGATCTCAATTGTTTTTATGGATACTAGATTTTTCAAAAAATAATCAAAAAAATAAATCAATTTTACACTTTAAAAATTTAATAAAAAAGCAAAAAAAAAATTAATTTGGGGGTGGCCGGTCCGGTACCGGAACCGTCGGTCCGGTCACGGTACCGGTACCAAGGGGTGGCGGTACCGGAACCGGCGGTTTCGGAACCGGAACTGTCCCGGAACCGTACCGTGTCCACCCCTATTTGTGAGCTGTTTATTTGTGACACTAGAATTTTTCGCAATATTTATATTTATACATGGATATTTTTTTATGAGAATTAAATACTTCAAAATGACGTCTCGAAAGAGAACTATTGATATTACATTTATATCAAAACACTATTTTTTCCATATATCGAAGTCAAGGTTTACAAATTTTGACAAAGAAATCAAATGGGAAGATCACTTGACAAAGATAGAGTATCATATCGTATCTTCAAAAATCATCAAACGAGTCATAAGTAAACAATGTAACTACCTTTTCAAGGAAACAACGTATATAAGACAACTAATTATACAAGGAAGGAAGATAAGTATTATTTGATTGTTGACGCCCAAAGATAATAATTAAGTAATATTCGGGATGTGTTTAAAGATAATTATGTAACATGCATTAAACTTAATTTTTTCATACATTGATAATAGGAAAAAATCACATAATTCTTAGGATGACTGTATAAATGTAAGCCTGAATGAATAATTCTATTAACACGCAGAGGAGGTTTTATACAGAGAGTTGCAACTCACCTAAACTACAATTATGGGAGCCGCTGCTATACATGTGGAGAGGACCTATTCTAATGCTAAATAAGAGGGATAACACTGCAACAACAATTTGAATATTCAAAATAACATTTGACTTAGTATTATCCTTAACACGCCCCCGCAAGATGGAGGATCCGTCAGAGACTCCAATCTTGGACCAGAATCGTTGAAATAACGTAGTACCCAAGGGTTTAGTGAGAAGATCTGCGGGTTGGTCATGCGACGAGATATGACGCACATGTAGGCGGTTGGCAGCAACGAGATCACGAACAAAGAAATAGTCGAGAGCCAGGTGTTTCATGCGTGAATGAAACACAGGATTTTTGCAGACATAGGTAGCGCCAAGATTATCGCAATACAATATGGGTGGGCGATGAACTGCTACACCAAGCTCACGGAGCAAATTCTGTAACCACAATGTTTCGGCAGTAGCGTGCGCAAGAGCCCGATACTCAGCTTCGGTGGATGAACGAGAGACCGTTCTCTGCCTAGCCGACTTCCACGAGACCGGATTGGAGCCCAGGTAAACCACATAAGCAGTGGTGGACCTACCGCCATCATGAATACCACCCCAATCAGAATCGGAAAAGACAGTAAGCTGCAGCGGAACCTTAGCACGTAGAAGTAGACCATGAGAAAGCGTACCACTCAAATACCGAAGAACCTGTTTTGCAGCCTGCCAATGAGTGACGGTAGGGGCGTGCATGAACTGAGACAACTTATTCACGGCAAAACACACATCCGGACGAGTAAGCGATAGATATTGCAGGGAACCAAGTAGCTTGCGAAAAGCCGTGGAGTCAGCCGAAGGAGATCCATCATGAAGCCGCAAGGAAGATGTCGAAGACAAGGGAGTGCTGACAGAGTTTGCATCCGCCATATTATGCTCAGTCAAAATATTGTAGATATACTGCCGCTGAGACAAGAAAACCCCCCCACGAACAGGAATAACCTCCACACCCAAAAAATGGTGAAGCGAGCCAAGATCTTTGAGAGAGAAGCGACGAGAGAGCTCACGTGTTAGAGTACATCCCACATCAGAAATCCAAGAGTAAAAATAATCGGTATATAAGCTCTAGAGTTGAACTAGCTAATAGATTGGATTCAATCTTTTAATGTGGTTCAACCCAAGTGTCTTATTGCACAATCCAGTTGTCCCTACCCAATTCTTAATTCTATCATGGTATCAGAGCTAGTTTTAGCCCACCTCGTTTGTCAAGGTGTCCGTCTAGACGTTCATTTCTAGCGGCCCGTTTGTCTTTAGCCCAGTTGTCCGTATGGAGTATGTACCCAACGGCCTGTGGCCTGTTTGACCCGATTGCACGTCTGGAAGTCCATACCCAGCGGCTCGTGGTCCTTTAGGTGTTGGTGCTCAAAAAAAAAAGTCAAGGGAATGGGAGTTCATTTGCAAGTGGTCAACCGGTTAGATTCAAAATGGCCCGGTTGTCCACTTGAGGGGGAGTGTTAGAGTACATCCCACATCGGAAAATCCAAGAGAAAATAATCGGTATATAAGCTCTAGAGTTGAACTAACTAATCGATTGGATTCAATCTTTTAATGTGGTTCAACCCAAGTGTCTTATTACCCAATCCAATTATCACTACCCCATCCTAAATTCTATCAAAATGTTATTTTGAATATTCAAATTATTGTTGCAGTGTTATCCCTCTTATTTAGCATTAGAATAGGTCCTCTCCACATGTATAGCTGCGGCTCCCATAATTGTAGTTTAGGTGAGTTGCAACTCTCTGTATAAAACCTCCTCTTCGTGTTAATAGAATTATTCATTCAGGCTTACATTTATATGGTATCAGAGCCCCACCTTTAAACAGATTTTTTTCCTGGTGCGTGATCTTTCCTCAGTCACTGCCCATCTCAGTTTTTTTTTCTATCATCATCATGGACTCTGGCTCTTTGTCCTCACCAGATCTGGTGCGCATGTCCGCTTCCAAACATTTGGCGTCGTCAGGTTCAAACCACCCTCGTTGGTTTGAATCTCCTTGGCTATGTCGATGGCTCCGTCAAAGCTCCGTGTCCCTTCTTGGACACGGCTCACTCGAAACCCAACCCTGCGTATACCCTTTGGTACCGCCAGGACGCTATACTCCTTGGTGCTATTATAGGGAGTTGCACCGATGCTGTGCAATCTCTAATTTCGCTTGCCGACACCTCCGCCGACGCCTGGTCAAGACTGACTCGGAGCCTCGCTAGCATGTCCCGGGGACGCATTATTTCTCTCAAAGCCAAGTTGGCAAAGAATCCTCGTGGAAGCCGTACCATTGCAGCGTTTGTCGCTGATATGACAGAGATTGCTGGGGAATTAGCCCTTGCTTACAGCCCCGTATCGGATGAGGATCTAGCGGTGCACATCATGTCCCAACTTGGCGACGAATATTCTACTATCTATCAATCCTTGCGAGGCCGCAATGATTGTGTTTCTATCGAAGAACTCACTACTATTTTGGAGGATTGCGAGCGTCATCTTCATGAGCGTCACTCTGCTACGGCCGACCTTGTGCCAACCGCAAATCATGCGCAACGTGCTCGTAGTGATCGTGGTGATCGTGGTGGTGCCCCTCATCGGGCCGGTGGTTTTGGTCAGACCCGTGGGGGTCATCATGGCCGAGGTTCTCCTCCCAGCGGCAATCGTGGTGGTCGTTACTGTCGGTTTTGTGATCTTGCAAGTCATGACACACGGTTTTGTCGCAAACTCCAGCGGTTCCTAAAAGAGAACAATGTCACCATTGCCGCTCCCAATAGCAACAGCCCCGCCGCTCATGTCACTGTCTCTAATAGTAATCTTGGCCACACGGACACTCAATGGATTGTTGACAGTGGTGCGTCTCATCACGTTGCAAATGATCCAAATTCGCTCAACCCTCTCATGGAATATGGCGGACCGGATGAAATTCGTTTGGGTAATGGTAAGACTTTATACATCTCTCACACTGGTCGATCTAGTCTATCTACACCCTCTCGTTCCCTCACCCTATCCAATGTCTTGTGTGTTCCTGCTCTTCAAAATAATCTTTTGTCTGTTTCTCAATTATGTCGTACTAATCGTGTTTCGGTTGAATTCTTTTCTGACCATTTTTTTGTCAAGGATGTGCATACGGGGATGCCTCTGCTTCGGGGAGCAATCAAAAATAATTTATATTATCTTCCAAGTCCGTCAGGTCCGTGTGTGAACACTGCCGCTGTGGCTGCCTCCTCCGTCGCGGACCTTCATCATCGTATGGGTCACCCTAATAATAAAATCTTGGGTCGCATTATTTGTCAATGCTCTGCATTCTCTCATTTCCCAGCCGTTTCTCAATTTCATTGTTCCTCTTGTAATATAAATAAAAGTCATAAGCTTCCCTTTGCCAATAATACTTTAACCAGCAGTTCTCCCTTGGATCTGCTTTACACTGATGTGTGGAGTACTACGCAATGTTCTGTGGATGGCTTTTATTATTATGTTATATTTGTTGATCATTATACCAAATATACATGGTGGTATCCGCTCAAACATAAGTCTGATGTTTCTGTGATTTTTCCCCAGTTTAAACGGTTGGTTGAAAATCACTTTCAGCGTTCAATTAAATGTGTTTTCTCAGACAATGGTGGTGAATTTCTAAAATTAGTCCCGCTATTCAATACTCATGGAATCTCCCATTTCACCACTCCGCCCCACACACCTGAACAAAATGGTACGGCAGAGCGTCGGCATCGACACATTGTCGAAACTGGGCTGTCGTTGCTTCATACCGTTGGTCTTCCACTCTCTTTTTGGTCCTATGCTTTTCATACAGCCATTTATCTTATTAATCGTCTACCCACTCTCATACTCTCTCATCGTTCTCCTCATGAAACTCTATTTTCCAAACCTCCCGATTATAGTAAATTAAAACCGTTTGGGTGTTTGTGTTACCCATGGCTCCGACCCTACCACTCCACCAAGTTATCTCCCCGCTCTACCCCATGTCTCTTTCTTGGGTATTGCAATTCTCAATCTGCGTACAAATGTTATGACTATATGGGGGAAAAGTCTATATTTCTCGGCATGTCAAGTTTTACCCACATATATTTCCCTATGCCACAGTTCCCCCTTCGGTCTCCTCTCGCCCAGTCTCTCACCATACGCCTATGCCCATGTTGCCCTCTTCAAAGCCATGCACTGTCCCCCCATTATCCCATACTACTCCCTTTCTTCCCATGCAAAATCCACCCACGCCTATTTCCCATATACCCCTCCTGTCTCATGAAAACCCCACTCCCACAAATCACACGCCAACTCCCCTTTCTGTTCCAGTACCCACGCCTGCCATCCCTCATTCGAGTCCAGCGTCGACCTCTCTTCCCTCCCTGTCTTCCAGGTCTGCGTCTCCCTCCCCGTCCAATGTTTCTCCTGTCCCGCATCGACCGGCTCGTGAGCGACGGTTAAATTCTCGTTACTTTAATGATCATCTTGTTATATAACCACGTTTCCTCTGTTGTAGTGGATACTCCGCTTACTTATCTGCAGGCGCGCAAGGATGCACATTGGAAGGCGGCTATGGATGAGGAATACTTGGCGTTGCAGCGCAATAACACATGGGAGCTTGTTCCTCGCAACCATCGGCGGCCGATTCAATGTAAGTGGGTGTTTCGTCTCAAGCGTAAGCCGGATGGGAGTATTGATCGGTATAAGGCACGCTTGGTCGCCAAGGGGTTCCTTCAACAACCGGGTCGTGATTACTATGAGACCTTCAGTCCGGTCACTAAGCCTGTCACCATCCGGCTCATCCTTACCCTTGCGTTACAGTTTGATTGGCCTCTTCGTCAATTGGATGTAAACAATGCCTTTCTCAATGGCACTCTCCGTGAAGAGGTCTACATGGAACAACCCTCTGGTTACAAGGATACCGCGCACCGGGACTATGTGTGCAAGCTTCGTAAGGCACTTTATGGTCTAAAACAAGCTCCTCGAGCTTGGTATTTAGAGTTGGCAACCTTTTTGACGGGGTTTGGTTTTCGTAAATCTCGGGCAGATGCATCTCTCTTTATTTTTGCACAGGGTGCCGTTCGACTAAATTTTTTGGTCTATGTGGATGATATTGTTGTCACAGGTAATTCTCCATCTTCCCTTGATGCATTTGTTCGTGATGTTAGAGTACATCCCACATCGGAAAATCCAAGAGAAAATAATCGGTATATAAGCTCTAGAGTTGAACTAACTAATCGATTGGATTCAATCTTTTAATGTGGTTCAACCCAAGTGTCTTATTACCCAATCCAATTATCACTACCCCATCCTAAATTCTATCATGGTATCGGAGCCAGTTTTAGCCCACCTCGTTTGTCAAGGTGTCCGTCTAGACGTTCATTCCTAGCGGCCCGTTAGTCTTTAGCCCAGTTGTCCGTATGGAGTGTGTGTACCCAACGGCCTGTGGCCTATTTAACACGATTGCTCGTCTGGAAGTCCATACCCAGCGACTCGTGGTCTTTAGGTGTTGGCGCTCAAAAAAAAAAGTCAAGGGATTGGGAGTTCATTTACAAGTGGTCAACCGGTTAGATTCAAAATGGCCCGGTTGTCCACTTGAGGGGGAGTGTTAGAGTTAATCGTATCCCACATCGGAAGTTGAATAGAAAAGTTATCGGTATATAAGGTCTTGAGTTGAACTAAGTAATCGATTGGATTCAATCTTTTAATGTGGTTCAACCCAAGTGTCTTATTGCCCCAATCCAGTTATCCATACTCCATCCTAAATTTATCATGGTATCAGAGCCAGTTTTAGCCCACCTCGTTTGTCAAGGTGTCCGTCTAGACGTTCATTCCTAGCGGCCCGTTAGTCTTTAGCCCAGTTGTCCGTATGGAGGTTGTACCCAACGGCCTGTGGCCTGTTTAACACGATTGCTCGTCTGGAAGTCCATACCCAGCGGCTCGTGGTCCTTTAAGTGTTGGCGCTCAAAAAAAAACAAAAAAAAAGGTCAAGGGAATGGGAGTTCATTTGCAAGTGGTCAACCGGTTAGATTCAAAATGGCCCGGTTGTCCACTTGAGGGGGAGTGTTAGAGTACATCCCACATCGGAAATCCAAGAGTAAAAATAATCGGTATATAAGCTCTAGAGTTGAACTAGCTAATAGATTGGATTCAATCTTTTAATGTGGTTCAACCCAAGTGTCTTATTGCCCAATCCAGTTGTCTCTACCCAATCCTAATTATAAATTCTATCACATTTGACTAAGTATTATCCTTAACAGACTGAATGTGTACATAAATATTTTGAATTTCAATAAATGGCATCGACACTTCCAAAATTTTCGAATGTTTATGGGCCTATTTGGAAATAGCATTAGCATTTTGAAAATACTATCTACGGGTAGCGTTTAGCGTTAGCGTTTTCAAAGAAATCTGCACCGTTAAGGTTTTATCCAAAATGCTAATGTTAATTTTTAACATTATTTCCAAAGATGCCTTACATCACTTAGTGAGATAACGAGTGGTGTTAGAGAGTAGCATGAACTTATCCTGCGGATCTACTTGGTCATTTGAGCGACGGGGAGATCTAGAATGGAGGTGCATCGAGTAATAATTGAAGGAATGGAATTAATGAAGGGGTATATTTATCTTTTAACCAGTTTTTGTTTGTGGACAAATATTCTAAAACCCACCACCTAAAAAAATAGGCGATGAATATTTTAAAATAAAATACATGATCAAATTTAGGAAGGAGGGACTTACTGTGATATTGTAAATGAATCGAATAATTTTGATTCGATCTGTATTTGAAAAAATCAAATCCGATTTTGATACGAATAGTATTTGTTATTGGTTATGTTAACGAATATGAATAAGAGTATATCGTACTCGATTAGGTACCTAAACGAATATATTTGAAAAGATGAGTCAAAATTATAAATATTAAAAAACTTATTGACAATAAACAAGTTCTTAAAAATTAGACGTATGCATATAAAGTGCTTCTTTGGTGCACCTTGAGTGCATATCATTCTTGTAGACCTTCTCACATAAAAAAACTTTTTTTATTTTTTTTATTTAAAAAATGTTTATTTAAGTAATAAAGAAATGCTTATTTTGCTCATATGTAGGTCTATGGTGGATCTTAGGTCCAACATAGAATTTGCCATGCATATATTTCAATCTTCAATACGATAATTATGAGTTTATAATTCTTTTTCCCTAATAGTTAATGCCAAGCTATGATCATCTTCTCTTTGCCTGATCTGAATGATTCTAATATGGTAGAATAGTTTTTTATCTGATTTGGTTTGATCTAACCTGAATGTAGTTAAATTTAAAGTTATTTCTGGTCTAATCTAAGTTGATTCTAAAAAGAAAAAGTAATCGGTAATAAGAATAAGGCCATGTTCTCTTCACCTAATCTGAATGGTTCTAATCAGATTTGAATAAGTTTTGATCTGATTTGGTCTGACCTAATCTGAATGGACTTATATTATCAGATTTGAACATGTCTGATCTGATTCTAATAAGAAAAATTAATAAGTTATAAGAATAAGTTGAAGAGAACATGACTTATATTCATATAAAGAGTTTTGAAAAAAAAATCTCCTTTAGTATAAGTTAAAAGATTACAATTCACCAAAATATGAGTTTTATTTTATTATTTACTTCAATAGGAGTAGACCCCATATCACATTTATTTTTATTCTGTATTTATCCTTTTATTAATTTCACGTTTGACCTAATTTTTTTCATTTTGGTGGTGGTAGTGATGACAGTGTGGCGACAAAAGGTAGTAATGTTGCGGCGGCAGTTCATAATGAGGTGACAAAGTTGGTAGTGTGGCGATGATGGTGGTGGTGGTGATGACAGTGTGGCAGCAGATGAAGATAATGCGACGGCGGAGAGGTAGTGATGATGACAATGTGGCAGCAGGGTGACATTGTGGTAACACAGGATGGCAGCGTGACGATAGTATAAGTAGTGATTATGGCAGTGTGGCGGGGGAGGTGATAGTGCGACATAGTTGGCAGTGTGATGGTAGAGGTGGCAGTGTAGCGAAGGGTGGTAGTGTGACGTGGGAGGTAGTGAATTTTGAGGAGGAGATAGGGGTGACGAGGACAAAATAAACAAAACCAACTCAGATTGCTTGGTCAACTCCTACATAAGTAAATAACTAAATAGGACTCCTATTTTGGATGTTAAACTTCTTTTTACTCTCATTTAGGAAGATCTCCCATGAAAAATCTGTTTAATATTCCGTATAAATCAAATTTTTTAAGAAATAAGTTAAATGTTTATAAGATATTTTAAGATTTAAACAAACCAAATGTTTTTTTAAAGGAAATGAGAATTTTTAAATGAATCGAATAATTTAAATTGAACATTTAAACGAACTGTTTTTTTATGATAAACGAATTAATTACGAGTCTCTAAAAATATTTGAACCAAATACAAATTTGGGTATAAATATCATCTAAAACTAGCGAATATGAATAATATTCATGAATATTTGATTTGATTTATTTATAATACCGTGCATATTAATTTAGAGAGATTTCTTTAAGGGTGAGCATTGGGTCATTTCGGTCGATTTTGGCCCAAAATCAAACTAATTGGAAAAATTTATCATTCAAAATGACCAACCGAACCGAACCGAACTGACCTTGGGCTAAAATCGAACAAACTGAAATAGACAATAACCAAACCGAAACCGACAATAACCGAACCGACCTTAAATTTTAATTTAATTATGAAATAATAAAAAATAAAAGTAAACTATAATTACAAAAATGCATATTTAAGATATCTATTGTTAAATATGTACATATTTAAATTGTAAAAAATTAAGATTGACTAAATGCAGATTTTATTAAATATTAGTAAAAAAATTATCCACACTTGAATTTGTAAATTAATTAATAAAAGAAGCAGAACTAAAGATTAATGAAAAAAGATGAATGAAGGAATGAATATGGACAAATAGGTGTCTTGGAAATAGAAAGAATAAATGATTAAAGGGATATGGTTTAGCCCAATTCACTTATTTAGGCTTAAAAATGGGTAATATTAATTTAATAAACATTAGGGGTGAATATGGATTTTGGTTATTCGGTTAACCGAATAAACCGAATTAAAGAACCGAAATCGATCGAATTAACCAAAAAAACCAATAATTTGAGGATGGATAATCGAAATTGAAACCAAAAATTGATTATTTCGGTTATTTTGGTTTTCGGTTTCACGGCCGGTCTGATTATTTTGCTCACTCCTATATTTCTTTGAGTAAGAAAAGAAAAAGAAAAGAAAAAAGAACAGGGAGATGGATAGAGAAAGAACTTACTTTTTTGGGTCCATGCTACAAATTGACGTGCAAGTGTCCTTTGTTCAATTGGTTCCATCCGATCTGCAACAGAGGAAAAGGAAGATGCATCAATGCTGATGACTCTCTCATCCCGGAAACCTAAGCACTCTCAAATTCTGTATTTATATATATTCTCCTTTTTCGTTTTCTTTTTTTCTTCATTCTTCTTCCATCGTTCTTCTTCCATATTTGACACTCGAACCCCCGCCATCCCTTTTCCCCACGGCGGCTCTGCTCCTCGCCGCCGCCAACATCATCTCTCTTGCCCTATTCACA